GGAGTTAAACTTTTTAAACAGCAACTCAGAAGTAGTGTTTATGATACAGTGAATTTAAGCTTACTTTTTATAAGTTTAGATGGAGGAAGCAAGTGAAACCTAACTGTTGTTTCATCTTATTAACCTTCGCGGTATTTACCTTGCAACGGACAGAGTGTCACTCCGATTGGGAGTTGAGTGACATAAGAAATGTTTATCCTGACTGATTGAGAGTGAATGTCCGAGGTTCTGAACTTTTAACTATGGCAAGAATGTCGGGGGGTTTTCTGTTCCCCTCCTTGAACAAGTCTTAGACGTTATTTTCCCCATGGTATGCTTTGAGTACTTGTCTTCTGGTTGAATCAAGATTCTGAATCCATGCCTTACTACTACCCAGGTTTATGCCGTTGCTCACATATACATGTGCCGTCACCGAGGATCTTCTCCTGTAAGGCTATAAGAACAGCTTTCCATATCTCCGTACTTTGCGAGTCGTGGCTTTGGATGGCGGTTAGAAACAAAGGGGGATCCGCTTTACTTCACGTACATGTTTGGGGCTCTGCTCTCCCGCAGTACGGCGCTTGCTGGTCTGCGCTGGCAGAGCATAGACATGTATGAAGGACTCAGCTGCTAGCTGGAAAGTCGGTCTTTCAAATCCACCAGCTGCTCTGCAGACAGTGTGTAAATCCATAGGGTAGGATTCTGTCCTCAAAAGAGTCGCAGTAAGGTGGAATTGACTTGATGGCTTTTCATATGTGATTTATATGTTTCATTTTACCACTTGGGCCAAAATGTTACATTTCTTTGAATAATCAAATGAACAGATCTTTGGGCTCCAAAGGAGCTCCAGTGACACAATGGACTATGTGTTGAGCTGCTAACCACAGGTCAGCAGTTCGAATCCACCAGCTCTTCCACAGGAGAAAGATGAGGCTTTCAACTCTTGTAAAGATTTACAGCTTTGGAAACACCAGGAGTGGTCTGGTCTGTCCTTGAGGACTCTGATTCAGACTTCACCGGATGGCAGTGAGTTTTTGGTTTGGAGGTGTGGGGGGAGCAATGGTCTTTTCATTGCAAGGATGTCTTTTCTCTTCATTCTCCCACCATATCTTCATGCACACATCATGTACACTTGTTGACTACTTTCCTTTGGTTCATCTACCCACTACCCTGAGATTTCTTCCCCTACTGCTGCATGAAGACTGCTGCACCAAGGCTCACCAGGGTACCGGTCTGCTGCAAAACATTTGTACCGCAGGCGAGCAACTGCTCTGAGCATGGCTTTACCACTGGGACGCTGGCGTTCTTTTTAGCCTAGTAAATCCAATCATTTTTACAGCCCCTCCCCCGTGTCATATGAACAGGTACTCCTCCAGCTTTGCTCTCTTGTCCATTTCCTCCTTGAAGCAGGCTTCAGTGACACATTTACCTGCTTTTCCTTCCCCCTCTCTTTTTGATAATACACAGCTTCTTTTACAGATTTCTTCTTCCCTACCCATTATTTCGTGTTGCTGTGTCTCAGTGATCTCTCCTAGGCTCTCCTTGTGTCTCATGATACTGCTTTCCCTCAGCAGTGACATACCATAAGGTCAGCACTTCAAACCCAGTAGCAGCTCAGAAAGAGAAACCTTTCTGCTTCTGTGAATATTCCCAGCCTCAGAAACCCCATTGAGGATTGCTCTGAGTCGACGTTGGCTTGATGACAGTAAGAAGGAGCCAAAGCTGCTTCTTGGCTTCTCCTCTGAGCTGCTTCTATCAGCTGTCTTCTGGGCCTCGTCCCTTGACTGCTGTATTGTGCTGCACTTGATTGAAACCCACTTCAAAGCAGTTTGGGGTCAAACAGGGAGAACTACTGACTCAAAAAACCAAACCTCAAATGTACATGTGAGGTGGATTTTACAGTGACTAGTCCCAGAAATACCCATCATCTGGACTTCTCTTTGGTCTCTGCTTGTCAGAATGATTACCTCAGAACCATTTTGTCTATGAGAAATGGAACATGATTTTCTAATGTCAGCCTAATCAGAAAGAGAATACAAAGTGGCTGGGCTTGGTTGGCCAGAGTGAGACGAAAAGTATCCTGACCAACACATATCATTCCTATGGTAGTGATAATAGTTTATTCACACACGCGTGTGTGTGCACACATAGACTACCTTAAGCCTATGAATATTTTTCTACTTGTGTTGAATGTGATTTTATTATTCATAGTTTTTATGTGCTCTGAAAAATGAAAACCGCTGTGTGGGAGTCGATCCCATGTCATAGCAACCCTGGACAGGATACGGGGGCAAAGGGGTTTCCACTGCTGTGAATCTTGTGTCAGGTGGCCAGCTCTTTCATATGTGAAGGGACCCGTGTGTTTGAACTGCTTGCCGTTAGTTTAGCCACTGTGCCATCAGTGATCCATGCTGAGTTATCATTGCTTAATTATCTAGAGTTGATTGATTGCTGTGCCATTTACTGTCCTGATTATGAAATCAAAGGAACTCTGTCCTAAAAAGGTATATGTTGAAAAGTGATGATCAGTATTTCTTGGAATTAGAAGCTTTTCTTTGGTAAGCATTGTGTTCTGATTTGTAATATTTTAAAGCAACGTTTAGTTAGCTGGAGCTGCAGTAATGGAAACACCATAAGTAGATAGCTCTCACAGATACAGTTATTCTCTTATAGTTTAGGAGGCTGCAAGTCTGAATTTGGTGAAGGCTTCCTTCCTTCCTTCCTTCCTTCCTTCCTTCCTTCCTTCCTTCCTTCCTTCCTTCCTTCCTTCCT